GTCATCTGTCTCCAAAAAACGGTGCAACCTAATTCCCGCTCACCAACCCCGTATCACCCCACCTAGTATCTTGCAAACTCACCCGAGCTACCCCCTACTCCGAGCCATAAAGGCGAGAGACTATGGTCAGTTCTCGAATCGCTTGGAGCCAGCTCGCTCGCGCGCAAGAGGGGTCCCGGAGCGATTTAACGAGGCGACAATTATCGCGATTATACGAGTGGCAGCGAGCATACCGGGACGAAAGTGGCGCAGCACGAGGGTTGGACGGGGGTGAGAGAGAGAGAGGGGGGCAGGAGGAAGCGACGAGGAGTGGTTTAATGGCGCGTATCAAGCATCCGGCCGACGTGTTCAGCGGTGCTTGCAGCGTGGAATCACGACTGACTTTTAGACCTGGAAGACGACGGGGGTTGGCGCGCGAAGGGAGGGGAAGAAGGAAGATATTTCCTAAAGACGTAAATACAAACGAAGCTAAAAGCTCACCTCTCGCCGGGTGGGCCGAGACCACCCACGGTGCTAGGTGGTGGCGGTGGCGCCCTTATGGGGGTTGGCGGTGGCGTCGAGACGCCACCCAGGGACGGCTGACTCTGCTGGGGCCGCGGACTGACCGACGCGGAAGTCGTGCTGGGGCTCCTCGAACCGCCAGCGCCATCTGGGCCGGCGTCCTCCGCGTCGGGGGCGCTGCTGCTTGTGGTGCCTTTGGAAACAGAAAGTGAGGGTACTGAATGATACTAATTTTGCTGAATTCATTTTTCCATCACTTGGAATAAAATCATTTGGAGAATTATACGAGCCATTCACTGCATCCAAGCGCGGAATATTCCGCGAGACACGACTGCCGTCTATCACCGAGCGCGGAATATTCCGCGAGCTGTGACAGTCGCCTATCACCGAGCGCGGAATAATCCGCGAGCTGACTTTCTCCATTACCAGTTGCCGAATATTCTTCATATGCCACAGATCACGTTTGATGCCTTTTGTGAGCATCTCATATACAACGGTTCATTATATTCTTAACAAGTTTTACTTTTGTCGTGGAAATCCTTTTAACTGCCATTATGAGTAGGTACTGATACGCGCGCGGTGATACGGACCAGTCGTCAGTTGAACGTCTCTGATGCATGAACACGACACCTTAGGCAGAGCCACGATGCAAATGATTTCAGCAACTGGTAATGGAAAAAGTCAGCTCGCGGAATATTCCGCGCTCGGTGATAGGCAATAGGTCGTAGCTCGCGGAATATTCCGCGCTCGGTGATAGACTACTGTCGTGACTCGCGGAATTTTCCGCGCTTGGATGCAAATGGGTTAATATTGCGTGACTATTTGTAATAATAAGGATCCCGAAATGTGTGGTTAAAATAGAGTGTTCATTTAGAGTAAAGTATAGTATATTTAGTATATTTAGTAAAGTATATTTAACATTTTTCAAAAAGTAGAGTTAATCTTTGTGCAGTGAACGGCTCATATATGGTTTGTAGATATTTTCATGCACAGGGAAATTATATAGTAACTGTATCTTGCGTTATGAACGCTTATAAGTGATAATGTATCAAGAATTAATTGTTTAGGTAAATTTGTTAATTTTAAATCAACATAGTTTAACATAGATTAACACTTTGACTGCCATGTTGGTCATTGGTGACCGAAGCACTTGGTCTACTTGTGAAACTATAGTTATAAAAATTGAATAAAAATTGATAGCGCATTTTGAATATAACCGCTAATTAGAAGATACTTTGAAATAAAAAGTGCCCCGTTGAACAATTAGAAATTTTTATTAGAACATCGATTAAAAAAATGTTAGAACAAATATTGCATCTATCGGGGTCCATCTGAGGGAAACATGTGATTTCAGCGTGACAGTCAAAGGGTTAATATGGTGTCACAAATAAAGAGGCATGGTGGAGATAGACAGATGTGTACGTCTATACTTTATTTTAACATAGTTACTGTAAAAGTGAGTAATTATAGGAAGCAAATATGTGAAAATTATCACTTTGACTGCTCTGGTAGTATTGGTCTTAGTATTGGTCTATGGGGAGATTGCGTCAGGTGTTTTTATTCATACCTTCAGGATCATGTCCCGTGGGACTTGGACCTGCCGATGAAGACGTTGGTGGTGCCAGACCTGTCGTTTCCAATGCGCCACCCCCTCCGTTACCCTCCCTCTTTCTCTGTTCTTCCTTCAAACGCTCGCTTTTCCTCCACTTTGCTCTACGATTTTGAAACCACACCTGGAAAGTTCAAAATATTCCCGTTTAATACGATGCTGCTTGAATGCTCAATTAAAATTAAACTCTGTGTATACATATTTCATTACCGCGAATAATTTTAATGTCTCAGGCATGACATATTTTTTCGGCAAATTTGTGTAGCTTAATTTGCTGCGCGGTAATTAATTTTTTGTTTAACCTCGACAAATGTAAATGCAAAATCGATATTTCAGTACGTATCGCAAGATATCGAGTAATTAATTGCTTCAATGCTGTATATTTTTCTATTTAATATATTAATATGTGATCATGAATAATTTCATAAAATATAATTTATGTGCACCAATGGTAATTACATAAATAATGTAGTAGTAATAAATAACACAGTTATTGTTATTTAGATGTCCTTTAGGTGTAATAATAATAAGCAGCATTAATGATGCAATTTTTAACCCTTTGCGGTCGGCAAATTTCAATAGAGAAACTTTAGCGTTTCGCAGTTATTTTTCTGTACAGGATTTAAAGTCATTATATGGATATTAACAGGTTGAATGCCACGTCAGTTTTACAGGGATTGACGAGGATTTTACGATGAATTTTCTTTTATGCGATACATACGATGTTGAAATATTATCTACAATAGATAAGTTACAGTGTATAATCATGTTTGACATGTTAATTGTGACCGGGGGGGGGGGGGGGCCCGTATCCACTATCACTTCACTCCTTACATTACCACATAACCTTCAAATTATATACAGTTTTCTATTTATTTATTCACTTAGCACCAAATTCTATTTTCATATAATAGTATTAATGATTAGTGATTAATAGTTATAATAGTGATAATATAAAATAACAATTTAATAATAATAATAATTAACACGTTGAATGCCACGCCAGTTTTACAGGGATTGCCCGTGACGCCATGATGAATTTTCTATTATGCGATACATACAATGTCGAAATATTATCTGCAATAGATAAGTTATAATGTATAACTATGTTTGGCATATTAATTGCGACGGGGGTCACCATTGAATTAACGATGGTAATAATAAAAATTTCTAAATATTGATATTTGTTTAAATTATATATATTTCTATCGATCTGAGCTGGTCACTGGTGGCCCCCGTGGCGCTACCGCCAAGTTGAGTGCCGGTCACCGGTGACCCCCATGGCATTCAACGTGTTAAAACGTACAGAATTTGTTGAAACTAATTTGTGTTTAATACTACTTATAATACGTAAAACTACCAAATTTTTAATTTCCCTAATTTTCTGTGGTTTCCTGTATTTTTCGACTCGCGAATGTCCCCGCTTCAGAGACATCAACTGCAAAGGGTTAAATTATATAAGGGTTTTATATACAATTATTATTATGTATACTATATTTTTAAATTGCTATTATTAGGGAGAATGAAAAAATGAGTCAAAAATATAGAATAAATTTTTTTCATACGAGGCTTTGTTTTCGACAAAATCGCCTTGAAACATTGGTGTGGGGCACGAGCACATAACTACCCCCTGCCTAACAGATTTCACTACGAGCTACCACACTCCCACTCACACTTATGTTTACAAATATTTTCAATTTAATTAATTGTTTTGTTTCACTTCTTGCACCTTATTTTTCTCGTCATAGTTAGACAATATTTATCAATCTGCTATTATGTTCCCTTATAATAGCTGCCAACCCTCAAATATGTAAATTGAATTATTTCAGAAACGAAGTCTCGTATGAAAAAATTTTATTCTACAAATTCGTCTTATTTTTGTTCGTAGTATCTATTCCTCCTCACTTAAACTACTGAAAATACACAATACCCAATTTATTTTAACATTTATCATATTTTTTTCAAATTTGGTGGACACTTTGTTACCACAGACTTATAATTATAATATAAATATTTAGATATAACATAAATTCAAGAAATATAGATACACAATCCCTACACCACCTCTAACACTATAGTGTTTAGTCACGTGACAATAATCCCCAGTTTACAAAGTATTTCTGGATTTCCTCATAACAAATTTAACACGCCTGCTATCAGAATCGAATTAGACAGTAACCAAGAAAATTCTGAAATTTCTACGAAAGAAAGAGGAATGAATGAAGGAAAAGGAAAAATTTCCACGGTTAATCCACTCCTGGACAATTGGCTACAACGAGGACACGCATGGCGTAGGTGTACGACACGTCGCGAGGGAGAGAAGAAAAGAGGGAAGAAAAATAAAAAGCAAACGCGAGTATGATGAGGAACGGCGCTGAAGGCGGCACTTAAGCTGCTTTATAGGGCTACACCTGGTGTGCGGATATGGAAGGATAATTGCATGTAGGGGATGGCATTCGCGGCCGGACAGAGGGGGTGTTGGGCCTCTTGCCCGCGTGCATGTTCAACGAGCCGACAGCAACCACGGCGGCCGAGTGTTTTTTAAAAAGCTCGAGTTCCGCTAACGAGCCTAACTTGACATAATACCAACTGAAATAGACTTTATTATACCCGGCGGTCCTCCGCCGGCTCCGTGCTTTTCGCTCACCCCGTCTGCCGTTGCTTTCCAATTGCGCCCTAACGCGGGCCTCTTCCAACAGCGAGCTCTCCTTTTCAACTTTCCAGCACGATCTTCTTATGGTCGCGGCTACGTGGAAGTTTAAGAAAGTGTCACATCGTGGCGGTTTTCCCAGGTTCACGGTTCTTTTATTTTTCGTTCGAATGTTTTAGAAGATTGGGCAGTTGACAAGGGGGTGATGGAAGTATTGCTTATTCGAAGAAAATTTATTCCATCTTTGATTTTGCTTTTTTTATTTCTTTTTCCTTGGGGTCGAGGGTTTTGATAATTGTTGGAATACACTATAGGCATGCAGCGATGATGTCAGATAGGTTTGGGCCTCATGGACCTCCGCTATTATGCTGGCGTTAAGGGGTTGTTTGCCGGGTTTGGGTTTAATACTAGATTTACGAAACCCGTCAATTTGACGGATGGGTTGCCCCAATTATACGATGGTAACAGATTTAGTTAACTTATATTAAGACTGTTAATATTGTAATTTTTTTAAATTAAATTAATCGTTGAAAAAGGAATAGACACGTGGTTTCCTTTACCTGTAAATTTGACAGGTGTCCGTAGAAGTAGGTATACAGATAGCGACCGTAAACTAGTGTTAAAGGGTATTTTGTTTGCTGAAAATGTTTAACTCCAAATTTGAAGCGGTATAGAGCACAACTAGAGTTACAACTCTTACGAATACCTACATTGTTTATATTTCCAAGAGTCTACATTTCACTAATAGTAAACTTCGTATGATATATTCTTCGCTGTATAACTGTATGGGGTTAGCTCCCTGCGAATTATAATAAAATCTCTGCAATTTCAATGCGAAGAAATTACCACAATAATTAGTTTCGTTTCGTATCTTGGAAGCTCAAAATTTTGAATGGATTTTACCCTCTTCCTCTAGGCATCAGACAATTTTCTACCGTTCGAAATGTGAGTAGAATGGGATTATAATATCTTTATTTTTCAACGAAGAACAGAAAGTATGTTCACAGGAAAGGTAGTAACGCAATAAAGAAAGAATATTATATTGAAATAATAAATCAGGTCTCTCTTTTCGCACCCTCTGTCTCACTTCACCTATCGATTTAAACTCCCTAACTGTTCTGCAAGGACAACTGCTTCAGTTGAAGCATTTACGCTAAACAAGACTCTCACAAGAAAGACCAAGGATGCAATAAATATTTTTGTAAATATTTAAATTAAATTCCCTTAACGATTAAAAATATTTTTATTCTCCTATAATCAAAATTTTATTTTTCCATAAGAGAACAAGATTGCAATCGATTTAATTCTTCCATTTGAACAGGAAATCTGAGTAAAAATTGCCGTATAAATAATTTTGGAATGCTAAAGACACGAGTCGTGACATCTTACGTATAATCTCGATGTTAAAATGTTTTTTGATTATTGTGTACATGTCGGTCGGTCACCAGCCAAATTCCTTTGTTCAAACGACTCAGTCTCTGTGGAATCGTTGTACAGCACACACCGATCGAGTTATCAATTATTAACCCTTTTCACTCGAGAGGTGCCTCTAGGTCACCATTTGATAAAATTTCGAAGCTCGATATTAATTAATATATCAAATTTAAAATAATGTAACAGTGTTCGAGGTATCGAAATCGAATAGTTCTACGTGTTAATTATTATACGATTTATTAACTACTCAAAAAATATCATCAGCCTTATGGAAGAAAATTTTTCAACTCGTGCCCCTCTTTAGCCAAAAAATCGTCGGGCGCAAAGGGTTAAAACGTTGCCTTTTTATAATTAGTGTTCCTTTCTTTTTAACTTCACTGCCATCCCAAATTCTATGCAATCAAAATGTAGTTTCGTTTATTCCAGTGATATAAATCTAATGTAAAATAGGGCACATGGGGAACCAAAATAAAATAAAATTTTTTAAACAATTTCCACAGCCCGTTAAAAGAAAAACCGTGTCTCTGGGGAAAATCTTGCAGCTAAACGAACGAGTGGAAGTTTCAGAGAATCTCTGTGCTAAAGTAGCCGGAAGTCATTAACGGATTGAAATCAATAATAAAATAAAGTTGCTGGAAGTCGATTACTCTGGCGCAAACGTAATTCTTCGTCCACTTGGACTCGAAGGACAAAACGCGTTATTACAGATCGGCTGAGTCCCGTGGAATGATTATCTTTCGCTGTGGGGGTTGGGGGTGAAAGTTTCACGGCGAGAGGAAGCTTGGAAAATGGTTTAATAAAATAAATACGATGAACCCGGCGTTGCCTTCGAATTCGCGCACGAGAAACGAGGACGTCGGATCCCGGCTGACGGGGATGGATAGAATAATATTCTCGGGGTTGCGGGGGCGAGTAATAGCTGAGAACAAAGCCGCGGTTCCGTCGGGACCGGCAGTCTTTTCGTCTTTGTCTTTCCACTCGCGAAGTTTCCCGTTTCCTTTCTCCCTTACCATGCCCTCCGCATTTTTTTCCCCAATACGAATTTAATCCGAAAGACGTCGGTAATGGCGCCGACTCGTTTCCCTCCACGAGATAAACGCATTTAATCTTTCAACACTTGTTAAGGGAAAGTGTGATGGATCGATGGCGAGCAACGTGTCACGATGAGGTGGTTAATTGTTTTAACGCTGGGATATCGAATGTGGTCAATTTTAGGTGATTTTATTTTTTATTTTCTTTTCTTTTTTTTTTGGTTACGAGAATATAGTCCTAAATTTTGGGACGCGTAGATTTTTTTGAAAATATCGTGGGTGCAGCATTTTGTCGGTGCATGTGTGAGCTTTAACTTCAATTTGTGGAGGAGCGTGAGTGAATGCAAATAGCTGTGTGAAATCTTTCGATATAATATTCGAAATATCGTTGATCACGATGAAGGAGATTTATTGATTGAAATTAAATTCGAAATTTTTGTAATGCGATTTTTAGAAACGTTCAAAATTTCTTTTCTAAAAAATAGGTAATCCTTTTCTGAGTAATGGTTATTCCATCTCAGAGGAACTCATAAATTTGGGAAACAACTCCAACGTTTATTGTAAGAGGAATCGAAAAGTGAAAATCGTGTATCTGATAATTTATCAAAAATATGTTCCTGATAAAATTTTGTACCAAATACCATTTCAATTCATCACCAATGCGAGGAATAATTATGCATTTAATGTTAAATGAAAGGAAATAGTTGATGAAAATAATGTCGCGAAGTAATATTCGGGATTAATTTTTATAAAATATGTTTAAAATAATTACCGGTAGAATTTTACACAGGGGAACCATTGTCAGTAAAAATCACATAATAATACCTCGGAAAGCCAAAAATAAACTCGTTAGAACCTTTCCAAATTAAAAAGGAAAGTCAGGTTTAATGTATCACGTATCTACTTACTAAAAATTAAATAAAATAATTGCCAGCGGTCTGCCTTGCAAATCAATTGCACAATTCTGACGAGTGTGTGTAGAACTATAGACCAAAGCCTCTTACTTCTTCATTATGTTTTTATTAAAAGACCGAAAGGACCATTTTTGCTTGGAAATTTATAAGCGCATTAGCATGGTGCGTAATCCAATGGTTAAAAGGCATTGTTGTTCTTCACCCTCGTGTATTCGTACGTTCCGTCTCCCGTCATCCCTCTCTTCTTCACTTTTTAATCGCCTTCTCTTTTTTTTATCGCGTTTAATCCGAATATGCCAGCAGTGGCATTGTTTTACTCCGAGAGAAGTCAAATATGCTTAATTTTTTGTCACTTGCTTCGTAAATCTGCTTTTAATTATTCTTTTAGTTATTTGCGCCCCCGTTTTCCCCCAGAAATGAAATAACGATGCTTTGAAACCGTTAAAACGCGTAATCCTAGGGAATTACCAATTTTATTAAACGATAATACCGTGATAAACGAATGTTCGGCATAGATACTTTGGATTACATTATGTACAAAATGGTAGAAGTAGCCTGATGCCTTATTATACCAAGTAGATGCACGTGAAATATCGTTTTATTAAAGTTTGACTAAAAATAGTTCATGACGAGTGCCAAGAGAGATAGCACTTCCACTAAGCTACCCTACAATTATTCCTCGCTTGACACGAATAGGAGAAATAAAGAAAATGGACGAAGTGAGTGCCACGTGATTCAAGCAATCCGGAGGAATCAAGACGAATGAGATAGGTACTTCGAAGACATGAGAAACTAGAGCTCAGAGGTTTGGATAGAGAGGGAATATGGATCTGACAGACTATAACGCGGTAAGTCCACTTTCTCTGACAGCCGTATTTCCAATTTTGACTGAAGCTATCGTGTCTATAAAACGAATTATGTGACATAGTATAACAAAGACAGCGAATGGAGACAGGACACATGGAGACCAAATGGAATAGAGTGATATAACACTGACGTAGACATATAATGGACTCAATTATGCTAAATGTTCAACATAAAATTAAAATCCTGCTGACCTAACTTATCCTACTGCTATGTCACAAGAATAAACCACAAAAGCATTACAGGGAGATTGTTCTCATAGCTGCTGTGCTACCTCAAATGCAAACTCCTAATCCTGGTATAGTAGATGAAGCTACACAGTACTCTTTTTAAATAATGTTAGGTCCAAACTATCACTATTTTCTTTATTACCACTTGAATTTCACAATCATACTATTTTATCTAATGGAAAAATTGGAAAACAACTCTCCAAGTAGAACATCCCTCTACAATCTTCTAATAATAATTTAGAGAAAGTACTGTCTGTTTGACTAGACATATTAATGGACTAACGAGAAATTTCAACGAGTGACTAAGATCATACTTGGAATCGCTCAAATATCGATCTCTGCTTGACTACAATCACAGTTAGTATACTGCAAATGTCAGATCTTGTGTGACTATAATCACCGGTAGCAACGGACACAACGTCAAACGTTGAGTGACTATAGGCACCATTAATACCATACAGACACCAATCATTAGGCGTCGATAGTCCTCGATATTATCTGAAGGATGAAGTCCAAATCTGAACCATGGAACACAGCCTACATAAACACAGAGAGTCATACACACGAGTTGCTCATTCGCCAAACTGATTAACTGCAGAAAACGAAAGGCAGAAAATTGGAGATATAAACAAAGGCGGAATATTTGAAGATCAATCGATTGTTTTGTGACGTTGAAATATCGAAAAATTCCAGGTTAATCGCTTCAATCTACTCGGATGTTGGTAATGCGCGTTGCACGCTTGGAAATCCAAGCACGCGACTCCGCGACATCGACGGTGGCGGCCTCTGGATCGCCGCGCATGCGCGTCCGGTTGCCTGGAGCACCGGCGTGCGTGAGGCATAATTGCCGCGCACGATGCGCGACGCACGGGACAACGAGGAAACGTCAGAGCCTCGGAGCTGCCTCCGACGATTCACCGACGATGGCCCACCCCCGTGCCCACCCTACCCCGCACGAGGTTCTAATTGGAGTAGGAGAAGAGGACCGGCACTGCATAAACGCGCCTATTTGTCCATTATTTCAGATTCCCTTTGTCTTCCCTAATGAAACAATGAGTCTGCGCCGTAATTGCGTCATAGCCGTCCGGTCCCTACCTTCCTCCCATTGTGTACACCGCTGCCTAGCATGGCCTTCTCGTCTTATAATCCGGACAATGCAGCGGGATAATACCTTGCCCCTCTGCTGGACGCGCCACGCTGAAGGATTCTTTGCCAGACTCTGTGTCTCTGTCCCATCGTTGTTGACTCTTTCTTTCGTTTTCTTAGCCATTCCACGGCGTCGAGTTGTTGATAGTTTTGGATTTGTGGTGGCTGATGTTTGCAATTGGAAATGACTAAGTGAATTTTATGGACGGTTCCTGAGAGCGATGAATATTTTCGCTTTTAGGGAGTTGGGTCTGAAGACAGGGTTATTGCGTTGTTTTGAGTTTTTGAAATATATATCTGCTGGAATTTTTGGGCGGGACTAGATCATTTTCCTAGTGATTGGTAGTTGGGAAGTATGAGGTGTATATCTAAAATACTTTGCAGTTTGAGGTAGGCTGAAGTTAGGGTTGGAGCTACGATCCTTGTGTCGTGAAATATTACTTTGAGACATCCTCATAGTAATTGGGTAGTATGAGGTAGGTATGTGTATAAAATGCTTCGTAGTTTGGGGTAGGTTCAATTTAGAATTGGAACTACGATCTTTGTCTCGTGAAATATTATTTTGAAGCGCCCTCATAGTAATTGGGAAGTATGAGGTGTGTATCTAAAATGCTTCGTAGTTTGGGGTAGGCTGAAGTTAGGATTGGAGCTACGCTCTTTGTCTCTTGAAATATTATTTTGAGGCGTCCTCATGGTAGTTGGGAAGTATGAGGTAGGTTTGTATCTAAAATGCTTCATAGTTTGGGGTAGGCTGAAGTTAGAGTTAGAGCTACGATTTTTGTCCTGTGAAATATTATTTTGAGGCGTCCTCAACTCTCAAAATTAGGAAGTTATGTAAATAGGCGGAGATAGATGGTGCTAGAGACCATAGAATGCTATGGCAATTTTCTTAGCAATTCTCTTTTAATATCCTAATATTCCTATTCTAACATTCCTCTTTAATAAGATTTTTGTCAGCCCAAGAAATGCCTCACAATGGATTCCCAATACTACCAAAAAATTCAGTGGGTCTCATACCTTAAGGATTAATTTATGAATTAATATCAATAATTCATTTAGCTTTATGAGTAACCTAAGAGGGTCAAAGAAGAAAGTTATGATGAAATTAGAAAGCAATATTTTTTAATTTTCTTAATATCTTTTTATACTTTTATATTACCAATATTCGTAAATGTTGTAAATCATTTTTATTTAAATAGATCATCCTACTTTTCGTGCAAAATTTAATTTATTCAACTATTTGGGGTAAACTAAAAAACTGACAATTTTTTATCGCGTTTCGCTGCAGATTCATATCGAAACCTCATTAATCGGTATTTAATACATGCCCACGGTTTCCGTTTAATTAACGAGGCGAGATACGAAAACACGAATTTCTTGAAATTATTTCTCTTCTATCGTTATATGATATCGATTCACCGAATCCTGATTCCCTCGCGGCTGTTATTTATTAATTCTCCATCAGATTACATCCAACATTTAAATTCTATCATCTTTGCTTTTCATTACTTCGTTTAATCCTCGTTGCACGATATTTGACTTTTCCTAGAATCCTGTTCCTATTAAAAAATATCACTCCAGGGGTATAATTGCATCGGTTAGTCGCGTATCTTTTGGTCTCGTTTACCCGATGAAAATTAACCGAATGTATTTGCAAACAAATATATCCACTTTGAAAAACAAAAACTGTATGTTGACATAAAATTATTAATAATTTATTGCAAAATATATGACGCAAAGCTGATCCAATCCAATCCAATCCAATAGGCTCTGATCCCTTCATTTATGTAAAAAATTAGCTCACCACGATATTAGTCGAAAATGTCAATATAACTGAAAATTTTAATCAAAAACCTATAGAAATTGAAATGGCTATAGCAGTCCAATTGGTTCTGATCCCAACATTTATGTAAAAAAATTAGTTCACCACGATATTAATCGAATACAATTGAAAATTTTAATCAATTATGTTAAATATTGATTATTGCGTATCAATTTAAATATCCAAGATAGTTAAAACGCAATGTACAACGATAAACATTTCGTTAATAATTTTTTCTCAGAATATTAGATCACGTGTCACGGAAAATTATAAATCTACGTATATCAAATTCCAGTTCCCTTTTTTCAAAATTTAAATTTGGAAAATATAATACAATAGAACTGATCTTAATATAAATGCAGCTTTCACTGAAACTATATTTACGCCGAAAATTGGACTACCAAAGTAGTCATCATGCTTTTCCATTTACCGAAAATATGCAATTGCATTTGGTGAAATGAACATCAGCTTCTATCGTAACTATAGAAACATAATTATATACTCGCTTAATTGTTAATTATATCCAGTATATTTAGCTATTAATATTAATATTAATTTATTATTATATTTATTATCAATATTGGAAATAACAGGCAATGTAAAATATATATACATATAGAAGGAAAATATTCTCGACGTAATTCTGACAATGCCTAACACGCATAAAGGGGGACGAATTAAAAATCTGATAATAGAACTGGCCTTAATATAAATGCAGCTTTCACTGAAACTATATTTACTACCAAAGTAGTCATCATGCTTTTCCATTTACCGAAAATATGCAATTGCATTTGGTAAAATGAACATTAACTTCTATCGTAACTATAGAAACATAATTATATACTCGCTTAATTGTTAATTATATCCAGTATATTTAGCTACTAATATTAATATTAATTTATTATTATATTTATTACGAATATTGGAAATAACAGGCAATGTAAAATATATATACACGTAGAAGGAAAGTATTCTCGACGTAATTCTGACAACGCCTAACACGCATAAAGGGGGACGAATTAAAAATCTGACATCAGCGATCAGATATCCTGCAGATGTTCCAACAGGATTTCAGCAGGGAATCGCTATTACTGCCGGGATTCTCTGCAGCGCGAATTACGCTGGTGCGAGTAAATATGGGCAGGAGGACGTAGCCAAGAGTACAAAGTAATCCCGGAGATTACCGGCTTACTCTGTCAGAAGATTACGTCAGGTCGAGGGTGTCAGCACCTCCCACGGGAGATGGGTGTACCCCGAAACTACCCTACATCTTGCGCTCTTGCTCTTACGCCGGTGATCCACACCGTCGCGCATCGAATCAATCGATCATTGTGCCTCTCACTTGACCGTGCGCTTTTGCGAGGATCTTCGATAGGGAATGTGCGAAACACATCGAGGTTTACCGTGAACAGATTTGTGGTAGCTTCTGGATCTCGCCTTTGTACATTTTTCCACGATTATCTGGCTTTTCGTGCAACGTTTGCAAAGCATTTTGTGATTTGAGGTTACGTTGTTTTGCATTCTTCTTCGCGTTTGTGAATATTTGCATGAAAATTGAAATACTTCGCGATGTTTGTAGAATTTTTATAATTTAAACATTTAACTCCTTTCGACTAAAGAAGAGTAGGGGTTCAAAGATTTTCTGCTATACAAATGACGATATTTTTTGGAGTAGTAAATAAGAAATCGTATAATAATTAACACGTAGAATTATATCGATCTTCAAAATTTTATTAAATGGTGACTGAAGGGGGCCCCTCGAGTGCAAAGAGTTAATTCTTGTTTGCAGATTTTTCGATGATGATTGGAACTTTTTGTAGTCTATGCGCAGTGTTTTGAAGGGTGAGGTTTGGTTCTTCTTTGTAAATGTCTGTACAATAGTTTAAGTTTTCTATAATATTCCTGTAGTCTTGTAACTTGAAATTTTATTTTTATTCTAGTAATATTTTTGGAATCTTTCTTGAATTTTTCTGTTTCTCGATATTTGTGTAGTAAATAAATTTTGTTTTATATACTTACAGTAATTTTCCAATTTTGTAATTTGTGATTTAATTCTTCTAGTTAGCAAATTTTTTTTATAAGAATTCTAGTTATTTTTTTATAACAATGCGAGTTATTTTTTTATACTGGTGAAGTATTTTATGTAACTTGAAATTTTATTTTTATTCTAGCAATATTTTTGGAATCTTTGTTGAATTTTTCTGTTTCTCGATATTTGTGTACTAAATAGATTTTTTTTTTTATACTTATAGTAATTTTCCAATTTTATAATTTGTAATTTAATTCTTCTAGTTTGCAAATTTTTTTTTATAACAATTCGAGTTATTTTTTTATATTGAAGTATTTTATGTTTAATTACTTATTAATTGCTTTAAATTGCTAAATTAAATTTTGTAATTAAACCTTTTTTCGATATTTTTCCTCGCTTGAATTTTTCTCTTTAATGAATAATTGTTTTGTACTAATTATTAATTATGACATCAGTACTGTATTTTGTTTATGTAGTAAAATTTTGCAATAATAATTCTACTTTTATGTGATTTCCTATGTGATGTTTAACGTCGAATTC